AAGGTTTAAGTGAGAGAGATAGAGAGATTTTGAACCAAGAGTGTTTGTGTGTTTGTGCTAATAAGAGAGTGTGTATATATAGTTTGAAAGCAGGTAGCAAATAAGGTAAAAATCAAAGTTCATCAGTAATTATGGGGACTCAGAATCAATCAGTCACGAAATCAAGGTAAGTACTCCTTTAATCGAGGAGTCAACTTCAAACGGTAATAAACAAATGGCAAATAAGGAAGGAAATCGTATAAGGTTGAGCATAACAAATAAGGAAATATTTCTGCATAGTTCCAGTACCCAACATGTAATAGAGGCTAGGTTCAGCATATTTCAATCAAGGAAACGACTTAAGAAATCAATTAATAGCATAATTGACCGTAGAATAGGGTCAGAAAATATTTTACAAGATTAAAAAATCAGTAGATATATCACGCAAAATCAGTGAAAAATCAATCACAAAGACTCAAAGATTCAAAAGTAGAAAATAGCACAGATTTAGCACCACTTTATAAGAACAATCACATAGTAAGCAAAAACTAGAACTCTAAGAGGTTGAGTAGGACAAAAATCGTATATAAATTAGGGATTCATGTAGAGAATAGTATGAATTAGTAGAATAAGCATGATACAGGAAGGAGAAGTGAAGAATCAGAAACATCGGTGGACAAAATAGGGCAAAATCACACAATAGGCAGGGATAACCATAATTAGGAACCTTAGCAAGCAATCATAGGGTAAAATCATAGAATCATTGAAACATATAGAATAACTGAACACACTATCAAAACAAAACTCATAAACCCAAGATTGGAACTAAGAAACTAGGGTTCTCAACATAGGCAAGTTGAAAATGTAGTAAAATCATAGAATCAGTCGAAATATGCAAGATATAGAAGTTTGAACATAAATAATCGGTTTAAACAAGTTTTTAGAAGAAGTTCCAAAACCCCTAATTTTAGAAGAAGGTGAAAACACTTAGAAATCGATGATTCTTGTAAAGAGTTACAAGGAGAGTGTAAAACATCAAAGAAACAGACTCAAATCATTTAAGAATCGTACAGATCTAGGAGATGTAAGCAAAAATTAGGGTTTCAGAAAAAAAACCAAGTAAAGATGAAAGAACATGTCTAAAATCTCCAAGATCGTAACAAGTACAACAAGATTTTGCTTGAAATCATATTGAGGTAGCCAAGAACAGACCAGATGGCAAACCCTAGATGCAAGTCAGCTTAGCCCAGGGCCCTTGAAGGCCTCAAATAAGGCGAGCATGGCAATAGAGGAGCCATTGGAGGCTTAGGAGTTGAAGGGAGATTACCGGAAAAGACCGGAGAAGAGAGTCAGCGGTTGAAGGAACTAAGTTTAGGTTGAGGGGTTGAGAGAGGAGAGGAGATGAGAGAATACAAAGGCGGCGGATTTGGGAAATGAGATAGGGTTAGGGGGTCATTGGAATTAAAAATGGTAAGAACGGATGAGGATCGTTGATCTTTTAGATCAACGACTAGGATTTGACTGGTCTTGGGTCGGGTAGGCGAGTTCAAGGTTTGGGTCGGGTATTTTTAATCTGAAATTGGGCTGAGGTTGGGTTTAAATTGGGCTACAATTGAAATGTGAATGTGGCTATATTTTAAATAGCCAATTTTCCCTATATAATTTATAATAAATGATAAACAGTTTCTAAAAAAATAATTTTAGGTACTAAAATGGTTTAAAATAGATATTTAACATTTTAAAAATATAGAAGATCAATTTCACGCAAATACATGTAATTATACATTAAATGGGCTAATATTGCAATTATATGCAATTTAGCTTTAAAAATACAAAATGCAATTATAAAAAATGCATAAAATATTTTAACCATATTTTTCCATAAATATAGAAATTAAATGACTAAATTACCACAACAATAATTTGAGGGATAATTATTGGGGATTTTATGAATAAAAAGGAAGGAAATAAATCAATTTAAATCCTTAAAATTATGAAAAAATTTATATAAACCTTGTGCATGCTTATATATGCATACATATGTTATTTTGAAAGTAATTATGCATATATAAAAAATATAGGGAAAAATTAGGCATCAACAGCTGCCCCTCTTTACCCGGGAAGGATGAAAGAGATTTCGGGTAAGAAATGATGGCCAATTTTGACCGGATGGGATGTTTTGAAAGATAGAGGCTGGAATCTAGTTTTAGAGTTGCCTACATATCCCTAGTTTTATAGGAATCAAGCCATGTGTAGTTTTGGATTCATCTACGGAGTATGCCGATGAAATTATTGCAAGAACGGACACGCGATGCAGAAACGGCTATGGTGAGCGGTTAAATCTCGGGACGGTTGGGGGAACTGGAGCGAGATCGCTCCTACTAGGATAGCGGTTGCTCAATGGTTACCTACAAATAAAAGATGCTACAAACGTATTTGCGAAAATTTAAACATGATGCGGATTCCCTTTGGACCATGAAGGTTGCTTTGGACGGTTAAAAATGATGTCCTTAGACCATGACGTCCTGGGACATGAATTGTTTAGTGAGGGATTCGCAGGCCATGAAATGATGTTCTCAGGCCATGACAATGGTGCCTCCGAACCATGATGCCTTTGAATAATGATATGCAAGTTTGAGGGATCCTCAGGCCATGTCATGGTGTATTCCGGCTATGAGGATGGTGCCTTCAGACTATGACGCCTTCGGATAGATTGGCAATATTTCAGCCCATGACGTGAAATAGTTATGATGTTATCAAGATAATTATTAGTCTTGTGAAATGGAGGGCAAAGCTTAGCCCGATTGGAAAGCAAATAGATAGTAAAATAGAGCAACATCTGTGCAAAAGAGACAGTGCTTAGTCCCATGCGAATGTGGAGGCGAGAATTAGCCTCATGCAGGTATGGAGGCAAGGATTAGCCTCATGCAAATATGGAGTCGAGGATTAGACTCATGCAAGTAAGGAGGCAGGTATTAGCCTCATGCGAGTATGGGGAGGCAGGGATTAGCCTCATGCTGTGCGGGATTGGACTCATGCAAATAGGGAGGCAAGGATTAGTCTCATGCAAGTATAGAGTCAAGGATTAGACTCATGCAAACATGGAGTCAGGGATTAGACTCATGCAAATGGAGTCAAGGATTCGACTCATGCAAGTATAGGGAGACAAAGATTAGCCTCATGCAAGTAGGGAGTCAAGGATTAGACTCATGCAAACATAGAGTCAGGGATTAGACTCATGCAAATGGAGGCGGGGATTAGCCTCATGCAGTTATGGAGTCAAGGATTAGACTCATGCAAATAGGAAGGCAGGGATTAGCCTCATGCAGGTATGGAGTCAAGGATTAGACTCATGCAAATAGGAAGGCAGGGATTAGCCTCATGCAGGTATGGAGTCAAGGATTAGACTCATGCAAATAGGGAGGCAGGGATTAGCCTCACGCAAATATGGAGGAAGGGATTAGCCTCATGCAAATATGAGGGACATGGATTAGTCCCATGTGAATAGGGAAGAAAGGATTAGGCTCATGCAAGTATGGAGACAGGGATTAGCTTCATGCAAATAGGGAGGCAAGGATTAGCCTCATGCAAATGTGGGAGTCAGGGATTAGACTCATGCAGATATGGAGGCAGGGATTAGCCTCATGCAGATGTGGAGGCAGGGATTAGCCTCATGCAAGTATGGAGTCAGAGATTAGACTCATGCAAGTATGGAGTCAGGGACTAGCCTCATGCAAGTATGGAGTCAAGGATTAGACTCATGCAGATATGGAGGCAGGGATTAGCCTCATGCAAGTATGGAGTCAAGGATTAGACTCATGCAGATATGGGGGTAGGGATTAGCCTCATGAAGTCAAGGATTAGACTCATGCAGGTATGGAGGCAAGGATTAGCCTCATGCAGATAGCAAGTAGTAAGTAAAAGTAGCATATGTCTTAGTTGGAGATGTATATTCGGTGTCTGGTGGCCAGTTGGATAGTGAATTTGCTTTGTGTATACATGTTTTGCGAATGCTGTTGTTACGTCAAATGTACCTGCGTTCAAAGAAAAGTTGTAAGTTTTGTGGAGGGAAGGTTGGTTCGTGCTTCTGTCGGCTGGCTTTGCTTTGCTCCATTCTGAAAGCCTTTTCACTACAAGAAATCTGCCTTTTAGCGGCGACCTTAGTCGCTACGAAATCATCATATGTCTCCACTAAATGTTTATAGTAGCGACATTGGACTTGCTGCAAGTAAGTCCATTACTAAATGTTATTTGTGACGACTACAAGCTGTCACAATGGAATGGTGATATTTTGTGGCAACATTATCGCTACAAAAAGTAAGCCAAATCGCCAAAAAAGGTAGTTCCACCAAACAGATTCAGGGGCAAGCTGCCACTAAAGAGTGACATTTAGCAGCGACAATTGTCACCACAAAAATAAATGACTATTGGTGGCAGCTACTTTATCGCTACTAGAAGTTGCTTTTAGTAGCAACTTAAGTCGCCACATAAACAATTAGCTATTAGCAGCAACTCTCATATTGCTACTGGAGAGTTACTTTTAGTAGCAATTGATGTCGCGAGCTCGCTGCTGGAGAATGACATTTAGTGGCGATGATAATTGCTACAAAAACTATTAAACAATCAGTGGCAACTTCACTATTGCAACAAATAATTTTCTGAATAAGATTTTGTCACCAATGAAACCTATTTAATTCAGCAACTGTAATGGCCAAAATTATATTAACGCATCCAATAGTATTTTACAAACACCAAAAGAATTTCTTAAGTCGGATATTAAATACTTCCATTGCTAAAATGCGAATTACATATATAATGCAGAATACTTCATTGCCATTGTATGCATATACATCCCCCAAAAGCAAAATACTAAGTACCTTGAAGCCCTTCTTGNCCAAAGAAATGACACCAAGAATGAGAGGTTCATGCTAGCCAAAATGGTAACATATAAAGAGTTGAAGCACACACCAAAATTTACCAAAATATATTTTTTGCCAATCATTAGATGCATTAGATTCTACTCAACATAAACACTTAGGAGTCTGAATTTTCTCCTATTTCTAAAATTGTCCAACCAAATTTTGCATATCCAGAATTTCAGAATTACATCAGAATATAAACGTCCGAAACAAATCCAAATTTAACATAAGATGACACTTCTTTACAACAATAACATAAAATAAGCTAGCATTCTCAAAGCTGCATAGAATATAAACAAAGATTTCTCTAAGGTATTTTATCAAACATGTCATATGCCTCGTAAAATTAATCCCAATTTGGGATAAACACGTACCAATCCAACATATACCAGTATTATATTTTGCAATAAGTAAAGAGAATTAGTAAAACAAAAACTAACCTGCACCATTTTCAACTTCAGGAGAGGAAGCGCACTTCTATCCAGATTCCTTGACGATACTATCTTTAGAGAAGGTCTCTGCCAAGGGTTACTTGATATTTGTCCTCTGTCTAGAGGTTCTTGACTGAGATTATTTGATTCTCCTGTCTTAGGAGATGCAGTAGTATTCCCTATTGGTTGTACTTGTGACTGAGGCATCACTCCAGAATTACCACGTCCTTGAAAATGGACACGTCCACGACCAGTTCCACTTCGACCTTTATCTCATCCTGTCATTTGGACCCTCCTACATGATGTAGAAAAACATCAGTAAGAATAGAAGCACGGTTAGGGGTAAATACTTTTCGTTATATATGAAAAATATAATGATACTCAGTGCACATAGAAGGCAAGTAACATTTCACAAAAGCTTAATATATAATCTAGTTATGAAATTAAAAGTTACAAGCATAATGAATTAATTTCATTGTCATGTTAATAAGGAACAAAATACAGAGAACTTTTCAAAACAAAAAGTAGAAATCTATATTATCTTGCTTCTCAGTATTCAAGAGCATCATCAATATCTTATCCATCATTATCATCAAGCCAATCTTCTTCGCCTTCTTCCCCCTTGGTTGACTGAATGCCCAACTAACAAAGCCATCTACTCCATCTCTATACCTTTAATCACCTCTATTTCTAATATTCAACCAACTTTTATCCATTCCTATTTTAGAATAAAATTCAATCAATCAATTAGTTAATAAATCTCAAGGACCACAAAAATCAACACAACTACAAGAACATAATCAGATGTTACTATAACTAATCTTGCTTAAAGTAAGACAAATTTTCTCTTTACAAAGAGTTCTACATTGGTTACAGTCAACACTTACATATGATATATGTCATAGCAAAATATAATCTTAAAAACATGGTATAAAGAGCATTGCAATTAACTTTAAACCAATAGTTGCATCTGTCAACAAATAAAATTATATAACACAACCAAGAGTTCTTTTCCGGTATATTTTTAAAGATAAAGAATGACAACATCATGAAATATTTTACATAAGGAATGACAAGGCTAGAACCTAGATACATTTATGAACTAATAAGACTAAGAAACAATTCATTTCAAGATTATGGAAATTTCAGCCGACCAAAAAGTTAAGAAAATATAACTTTCAAAAGCAAAATTAAGTTGTCTAAGAGGATATCATTAAAACACCTTAGCTGCAATAAATAGACGAACTAGAACTTAATTAACTCCATTTATCTATTTTAGTTTGTCTAAGTTATTTTTAATTTAACACTATAAATTAACCAATTATATTATCTATTAAATCAATTAGCAGAAAATAATAAGAGCTAATTCAGCACTTGGTAGAGACGTAAAGAAGCTCAAAAAATGAAAACATATGTATATCACAAAGATGATGAACAAATAGAGAAGGAATGATGAACAAAATAAATGAAGTAACATCTTAAAAATAAATCAAATAAATCCTAATGTTTTTTACTTCTGATATCTTTCTTAATGTATAGCTCAAAAGAATCTTCACTAATTTCACTACCTAAAATATTATTGGGTGAAGATTTATGAAACATATGAGATTTTGTCGAAAAATATCAAGAAAAATAATAGACCCATATCACAAAACATCTCATTTCAGCATTTTGAGAGGAATACCAAACATGCAATCACCAAAAAGTTCAGAATTAAAAAAAAAAAAAAAAACTTACCCAGCGAAAGAGATCATCAATACCGAGAAGGGCTTTACACGATGATATTGTTGGAAAAATTACTTTATACTCCTGTAGATTTCAAATGGGTTAAAGAAATTAGAGGTAAAATTGATAAAATAGTCACTCTCACTAACTGCATTTAACACCCAAAAGGATTTGGGGTTTGAGAGCTTACCTGATTTGAATACAATCTTAGAAAACAAGTGGTGTTAGGGCTTTTGGGTTTCACAAATTAGGTTCACATCTTGTGATTAAACAAAAGTGAAAGATTTAATTTGAGAAACTTCAAGAAGTAATGTAGCTTTTGCAGAGAGAATCGAGAAGAGGGAAGAAGAAAAATGGAGCTTCGGTCTTCTTTTGTACAGAGCTCCTTTAGAACTTAGTATTTTTAGGGTCTTTTATTTAGTTTTTTATTTTTAAATGTCAGATATTTACACAATTAGAGGTGACCCAGTTGCCCCAAAAACATCTTCAGAGGCGACTCTCTATTAGTCACTACTAAATTTGGAGCCAAAATTTTGGTCATAGCAGGAACTAATAATTCAGGATTTAGTGGCAAAAATTAGAGGCGACTCGAAAACGTCGCCTTTAAAATTTTATATTTTGTAGCGACTTACTAGGTCGCCACAATAAATATACCATTTGTAGCAATAAATAAAGTTGCTACTAAATATCGCCACTAAAAGACAGATTTCTTGTAATGTTTGAGTTTCCCTGGGTAACACTTGACTGTTACGAAAATAAAGTTTTCAAAAATATGCAATTATTGATAAAAATAGAGTTGTTTTAGAAATGTATTAATATATCAAGTAATTTTGATGAACTAGTGACTGCGACACATCTCAAAGACATTGATATTTTCTTATGGAATTTTGAGGGTCCTCCTCAAAATTCTGCCCCTGTTTGGTAGATGATCCTTCGGCTGTTTGCGGATAGTAGGCCTTGCTGAACCTTCTTCGGAATTTTGAGAATCCTTCTCAAAATTCTGCCCCAGTTTCTTAACTGATTACTGACCGTCTGACACATATTGGCGTTGGTTGGACTTGCTCCGAAATTTTGAGGGTCCTCCTCAAAACTCTGCCCCGGTTTCTGAGCTTGGGAAAAATGAAAAAATTATTATGATATGACTGAACCTATAAGAATGCATACGTATCCCCTCTTAAATGGGAATTAAGTCAAGTGTAGTTCAATTATATCAAATGAGGAAATGTAAAGTATCTAAGCATAGTATCTCTTGACTGCGTCTGAATTGATCAGATTTGGCCAGACTTCTCCGTCCATTTCTGCAAGTATGAGTGCTCCTCTTGTTAGTACTCTATGAACCATGTATGGACCTTGCCAGTTGGGAGAGAATTTCCCTTTGGCCTTATCTTGATGTGGGAAAATTTTCTTCAATACCAGTTGCCCTGGTGCGAACTGTCTTGGTTTGACTCTTTTGTTGAAAGCTCTGGACATAGTACGTTCATCCTCTTTCCATCGATAAAGGCCAATTGTTCATTGCGACTCCTAATCCACTCCGCATCGCTGAGTTCAGCTTTCTGTATGATTCTCAAAGAAGAAATCTCCACCTCGGCTAGGCTGACAACCCCAATACTATAAACCAACATGTAGGAAGTTGCCCCGGTTGATGTGCGAACCGTGATACGGTACCCCAATAGAGCAAAGGGTAACTTTTCATGCCATTGTTTTTGGCTCTCTACCATTTTCCTTAGTATCTTCTTGATGTTTTTGTTGGGGGCTTCTACGGCTCCATTCATCTGAGGTCTGTAGGCTGTGGAATTCTTCTGCTTGATTTTGAAAGCTTCACATATAGCTTTCATTAGATCACTATTGATATTGGCGGTGTTGTCTATAATAATGGACTCAGGAACTCCGAATCGGCAGACAATACGATCCTTGACAAAATCTGCAATGACTTTCTTGGTTACAGCTTTGTAAGATGCATCTTCTACCCATTTCGTGAAGTAATCAATGGCTACCAGAATAAACCAGTGTCCGTTTGAAGCTTTGGGCTCAATTGGACCAATAACATCCATTCCCCAAGCCGTTAATAGCCATGGAGAGCTTGTTGCATTGAGCTCATTTGGTGGCACTTTTATCATGTCGGCATGCACTTGACATTGAAAGCATTTGCGGACATACTGAATGCAATCTGTTTCTATGGTCATCCAAAAGTAACCAGCTCTGAGTATCTTCTTAGCCAAGATGAAATCATTCATATGTAGACCAAAGGTCCCAGCATGCACATCCTCAAGTGGCTTAGAAGCTTCCTTCGCGCAACACATCTTAGTAAACCCAAATCAGGAGTTCTTACGTACAAGTTCCCTCCACTATGGAAGAAGTGATTCGACAATCTTTAGAGCGTGAATTTCTGAGTGTGATTTGCATGCTCTGGGTATTCTCCTTTTGATAAGTATTCTTTGATATCATGGAACCAAGGCTTTCCATCTGCTTCTTCCTCGACATGAGCACAGTATGCCAGCTGATTGTGGATCCTTACCGGAATAGGATCAATGTAGTTCTTATCTGGATGTTGTATCATGGATGACAAAGTGGCCAATGTGTTGGCAAATTCATTGTGAATTCTGGGCACATGTTGGAATTCTACCTTTGTGAATCTCTTTCTCAATTCCTGCACATGGTGCAGATATGGAAATATCTTGGAATTCTTGGTGGCCCACTCTCCTTGTACTTGGTGCACTAGTAAATTTGAATCACCGATCATCAGCAGCTCCTGAATATTCATTTCAGCTGTTATATTGAGCCTTAATATGCAGGCTTCATACTCTGCCATGTTGTTGGTGCAGGGAAATCTGAGTTTAGCAGATACTGGATAATACTGACCCATTTTTGATATCAAAACTGCTCCAATGCCTACTCCTTTGAAATTTGCGGCTCCGTTAAAGAAATCCTCCAACCGTCATACTCTTCGGTAATGTCTTCTCCTACGAATGATACTTCTTCATCAGGAAAATACGTCTTCAAGGGATCGTATTCTTCTCCCACTGGATTTTCAGCAAGGTGATCTGCCACTGCTTGTCCCTTGACCGCCTTTTGAGTCACGTAGACGATATCAAATTCACTCAATAATATCTGCCATTTGGCCAACTTTCCAGTGGCATGGGTTTCTGGAATATGTACTTCAGAGGATCCATCCTGGATATGAGGTATGTAGTGTAGGCACTAAAGTAATGCCTCAATATTTGGGCTATCCAGGTCAAAGCACAGCAAGTGCGTTCAAGAAGAGAATATCGTGCTTCATAAGGTGTGAACTTCTTACTCAAGTAATATATGGCATGCTCCTTTCTTCATATCTCGTCATTTAATCCCAAAACACATCTGAAGGCTCCATCCAATACAGATAGATAAAGCAGCAAAGGTCGTCCTCGTTCTGGCGGGACCAAAACTTGTGGTGTGGACAGGTACTCCTTGATCTTGTCAAAAGCTTTCTGGCAATCCTCGGTTCAGCTCATTTCAGCATCCTTTCTTAGCATCTTGAAGATGGGTTCACATATGACTGTGGACTGTGCTATGAAGCAACTGATATAGTTGAGACGCCCAAAGAAGCTCATCACATCCTTTTTGCTCTTAGGTGGTGGTAACTCCTGAATAGCTTTGACTTTAGTCAGATCCAATTCGATCCCTCGACGACTGATGATGAATCCCAATAACTTTCCTGAGCGAACCCCGAATGCACACTTTTTGGGGTTCAATTTCAGATTGTGCCTCCTGAGCCTGTCAAAGAACTTTCTCAAGTACGTTATGTGATTTGCGGCCCTCTTGGATTTGATAATGACATCGTCCACATACACCTCTATTTCTTTGTGTATCATATCATGGAAAATGGTTGGCATTGCTCTTGTGTAAGTGGCTCCAGCATTCTTCAGACCGAATGACATCATCTTGTAACAATATACACCCCATGGTGTAATAAAAGCTGTCTTCTCTGCAGCTTCTTCATCCATCCAAATCTGATGATAACCCACGAAACAATCTACAAAGGATTGGAGTTCATGCTTCGCAGTTATTGATCAGGATGTGTGTATTTGGCAGTGGAAAATCATCTTTGGGACTTGCTCTGTTTAAATCCCGATAGTCAACACATACTCTGACATTCACATCCTTCTTCGGAACTGGCACAATGTTAGTTAACCAGGTTAGGTATTCAACCACCCTGAGAACTTTGGCTTTGATCTGCTCGGTAACTTCCTCCTTGATTTTTAGGCTCATGTCTGGTTTGAACTTTCTGAGTTTCTGCTAACTGGCTGACACATGGGATTAGTAGGCAACTTGTGAGCTACTATGGAAGTGCTCAAACCGGTCATGTCATCATACGACCATGCGAAGAAGTCCTCATATTCCTTTAGAAATCGAATGTACTCTTCCTTCTCTATTGGTGACAAGTGAATACTGATGTGTGTCTCTTTGACGGTCTCGGCGTCTCCCAAATTTACTGCTTTTTTTTGTTCAGATTGGACTTAGGCTTATTCTCAAAGTTTTCAACCTCCCTGATAATTTCCTCGGGTATCTCATCTTCTTCATCTGAGTCACTATTCTCATATTGCGTTGCCTCATTACATGTCACAGTCACTGGTTCATCAGTAAATGTAATAATAGCGCCAGGGACTCAGAGGGCTCGGGATGGTATGGCGGTCCAGTACCTGAGAACAGCTCCCTTCACCACAGTCTGAATGGTGAGGCCTTCTTCCTCCCCCTCCTCAATTATGGCACCACAATCCATGTCCTCATCCTCCAAGAATGAATTTTTCAACCCAGCTAGTGCTTCTTCTTCCGCAGTTCCCCATATTATGTCGGCCTGGTGGAAAGCTTATTCCAAACGTGGCACTGGCTGCTCAAGAGGGTATGGTCCATGCCATGGAGGCGACCAATCATTATACTCTTGCCATGTATACTGGTATCCGAGCCCAAAAGTGGTACCATGATTTTTCAGCTATATTGGCTTGGTGATACCTTGGAGGTTCTTTCCTAACCCTTTGTCGGGTTTATATACGGACCATGCTAGTATGCTTTTTATTTTGTTACTCCACCACTTATCCTTCTCGACAGCATTGACCCATTCTATGTGATGATAGGTTTCCCCTCCTAGCCTTCTTCTATATCCAATGGTTGGGATGGTTTGACTAGTGTAGATGGGGTTACTTCCATCTCCATGAATGATTACCTCTTGGCGGTTCTATTCAAACTTCACAGCTTGATGTAGTATGGAAGGCACGGCTTCAGCAACATGGATCCATGGGCGGCCCAACAGAATATTATATGAGGCTGGTATGTCAAGCACCTGAAATTCAACGTCGAACCAAGTTGGCCCCATCTGCAAGCAAAGGTTGATTTCCCCAATCGTGTCCCTCTAGGACCCATCGAAAGCCTTCA